AGTGACACAGAGGTACTTACATCCCTAAAATTTAAGTATATACTTCATTTTAAGAACATTAGGGCCATTTTTATATACTTTATTTAGATAACGGCATATTTAAAACCATTCTTTTAAAACAGTGCCTCTAATATTACAGCATAAGCAACCATTATGGCCTTAGCTGGCTAGACAACATTAGTCTCTTCATTATTTATTAAGTTTCAAAACATTTAGAGTGATTACCCCATAATTCTCAGAACTTTTTAAAAGCAAAATTCTAAATGGTACCCACTGACAAACCTGGCAAAAACCCACAGCTGCTGATAACCCCTACCCCTGGTACCTTCAACTATGACAGGGAGCCCCCTTTCTCACTCAGCTAGGGAAGAGATGGTACTCACATTCATTTAGAATAATGGGGGCCCTGGAACAACCCCTGGGGCAGGGAAAACCAGAAGCAGAAGAAATATCACAGACAGAAGGTGACCCAAGGGCTGAATATACTAGCTAGGAATTATGCTGTAAATCCAGTAAAGAAAGGTCTTCCTAAGAGGAGGAATCTTAAGTGCCTGAGGAACAGAGACTTGGAGAAGTGACCAAAGAAAGCAAAACCTTTTTTGGCTAAGAAATATATACTAAGAAATCTCTTGACTATTACTTGAACATTTCCACCTAATAGTTTATGGTCAACATGCTTGAGGATGGAGATACCCAGCTCTATCTCCATCACAATGCCTACATTTGGAGGAAGAGATTCAAGCAAAGTATAGCAACCTCCTGTTCTATGACATTCAAGAACAGGTGTACATAACACACAGGTGTAATGCCCAGATCTGCCGAACTTCAGTGCCTACCATAAGGGATATGCCAGAAATCCTAATACAGTACATTATACATACCAAAAGCTGAAAAAAAATTTTGCTGACTGCACTCAAAACTGTCACCAACTTGTATTCATTCCACATTGTCCAAACTTTACCCTGCCCCACCTCCCACCCCTGCACATTTTTTTTTTAAACATAGTAACACCTAGGCCTGAACATGAAACCTGGAATAGGAAAACAAAGAACTGTCATACTTGCCTTGCTTCTGTTTATTTCTGTTGATGACATGTGGTTATATTTCTGGTGGCAACGCTATCTGAAAGACCACCGTCATTTCAAGGAAGAAAAGTAAAATTTACTGGCCACCTAATATGTGCCTAGCATATCCACATAGTTATCTCATTTCAGCCTTCCAATAACTCTGAGGCATAAGCATTACTACCCAATTTTTATGTAAGAAGAAACTGAGGTTCGAAAGTTCTCTAAGATCACCTGCTAGTAACAGTATTCAAATCTAAGTCTGTAGCCTTTCATCTTTCTCAACATTTATGTAATATGAGGTATTATAAAAACTACAACCAAAAATATAGGATAACCTACTAAATAGTATATGGAAAGTGCTAAGCTGTGGGCTTCTTATTTGTCATCCATGACAAATTCACTTAGAGTATCCACCACTTACAGAACATTGTATTTCTCCCAAGGCTATATTATCTTTGCCCAATGGGAACTGACAGTCTAGCTGGAGAAACAGGCCACTTCCACAGTTGTTAATGTTAGACAAAACAAAAGATGTCGGAAAAAACAAGGGTTTTAGACATACATATATAAGAATTTCAGTGCTGGATACTAGTAGCTCGTACCTGTAATCCCAGCACTTTGGGAGGCTGAGGATAGAGGATTGCTTAAGGCCAGGAGTTTGAGACCAGCCTGAGAAACATAGGGAGAGCTTGTCTCTTCAAAAAAAATTTAAAAAGTAGCCAGGCACGGTGGTGTGTGCCTGTAGTCCCACCTACTCAGGGGGCTGAGGTGGGAAAAGCACTTAAGCCCAGGTGATCAAGGCTACAGTGAGCTGTGATTGCACCACTGCACTCCAGCCTGGGCAACAAAGTGAGATCCTGCCTAAAAAAAATAAAAATAAAAATAAAAAAATTCAGTGCTTCATACTAGCTGTGAATGTTGGACAAGAAACTTAATTTTCCTCACCTGTAAGGGCATGTTAAAAGTCAACATCTCAGGACTCTTATAAAGCTTAATGAGACAACTTATGAAAAAAAAGGTAGAAACCTAACACCTGTTCACTCTTTCCCCTATGAAGGAGCATAAACTACTAAGTACTAGTGATTGGAAATATCAGTATTTTCTGCAGCAAAGATCAAAGATTTTGATTTGCTTAAAAAAAAAAATCAAAATCAAAAATTCCAACCCTTATATTTGAAAGCTCTTCTACAGAGACAGCTGTGTCATTTGTCAACTAGGTTTATCATTTATAATTAAAAGCAGCAGAGTTAAACATATAGCGGGCTCCGGTGGCTCACACCTGTAATCCCAGCACTTTGGGAGGCCGAGGCGGGTGGATCACGAGGTCAAGAGATTGAGACCATTCTGGTCAACAGGGTGAAACCCCGTCTCTACTAAAAATACAAAAATTAGCTGGGCATGGTGGCGCACGCCTGTAGTCCCAGCTACTCGGGAGGCTGAAGCAGGAGAATTGCTTGAACCCAGGAGGTGGAGGTTGCAGTGAGCCGAGATCGTGCCATTGCACTCCAGCCTGGGTAACAAGAGTGAAACTCTGTCTCAAAAAACAAAACAAAACAAAACAAAACAAAACAAAACAAAACATATAGCGGGCTCACACTGTAAAAAATTTAAACAATGATACACAGCCGAATTCTACCAGACATACAAAGAGGAGCTGGTACCATTCCTTCTGAAACTATTCCAAACAATCCAAAAAGAGGGAATCCTTCCCAAGTCATTTTATGAGACCAACATCATCCTGATACAAAAACCCGGCAGAGACTCAGCAAGAAAAGAAAACTTCAGGCCAATATCCATGATGAACATAGATGCAAAAATCTTCAATAAAATACTGGCATACTGACTGTAACAGCACATCGAAAAGCTTATCCACCATGATCAAATAGGCTTCAGTCCAGGGATGCAAGGCTGGTTCAACATACGCAAGTCTATAAACGTAATTCACCACATAAACAGAACCAAAGACAAAAATTTAAAGAATGATAAACATGGGTAACATTCATGGAAAAAAATTTTGAGGGGGTGTCATATTTTTTGTGCAAAACTGCCCATCTTAAAAGGAAAACTACCATTTAAAGTAAAAATATATGGCAACTACAAGCTATGGTATATGCCTATAGTCCCAGCTACTCAGGAGACTGAGTCAGGAGGATAGCTTGAGCCCAGGGGTTTGAGGCTGTAGTTCACTATGACTGCTACTGTAAATACCCAGTGTACTCCAGAGTGGACAACACAGTATGGCCTTGACTCCTAAAAGAAAAAAAAAGAAAGAAAAGAAAAAAGAAACAAAAAGAAAGAAAAAAAGTGTTTGGCAACTAAATGCAATCTGGTATCTTGGATTGAATCATGGGAACGGTAATCTGACCAAAGTCTTTGGTTAACAGTAATGTACTTATGTTAATTTATTAGTTTTGACAAATGTCCAACTTTTCTGTAAATCTAGTATTCCAAAATATAAAGGGCTTTAAAAAAAAGTGGCTAATAAAGAAATGACAAACATACATAGCAATTCTTACCACTTGATTTTGAATCTCCTGAGGACAGTTAGCCTTACAGCAAAAGCTTTGAAATCAGTCAATGTTTGCCAATTCTGCAAGCTACTCTAAAGCATAAATACATGGAACACCCTGGGTTTAACTAACAATATTTCTAACTTTTAAAGAGAAGTGACTTGTCCACTTTTACCTAGCACATTCTTGCAAAATATCATCTTCATGGTAATTGAATATTGTTATTACAAAACCAGTACGTTTCTAACAGTTCTGCCTTTCTATTCCTGAATAAGACATTTACTCAATCAGAACATAAGGAGTATCTCTAACCACATATAAGGTATAACATGAATTTGGAAGTCTAATAACAAGTGGCATTTCTGAGCTTAGTACTAAAGGCAAGCATAGGTTTTGATAATAACACAGGCAATTTAATTCTCTTCCTTTAATCTACTACACAAAATGTAAAGAAGAGTTAATAAAGTAATGTAGAACTCAGTAGGGCATCTTTATTCCCAGGGTCAAATGATGACCATTACTGACACAACTTTTTTTTTTTTTCCAAAAGTACACCTACATTTATTAGAAAGCACATTAAGTGTGAACTTTACTAGTTGTGTGTTCAAGATGGCTGAAGCTTTCACACACTGGAGTCTACAAGAGTTTACTTGCATACCAGAAGGCAAGTCTCATGCTACAAACTGATGTCAGAGGTTTAAGGCAGCCGTACACACATGCATTCATACATACGCGGTTACTGCTAGGCTCTGCTGAGGCATTCCCTAACCCTTTTTTAACACACATGTGGAATTCAGAGGGCAGTTTTCAAATTTTAAAGTAACCTTAATCATCTTTTCATAGTTCAAAAAAGGAAAAAAATAAACACAGCAATGCAGCAAAGTCATTTCTCCAGCTGAAATGACCTCCAGCTTCTTCGGGCTACTCCCGGTTTCGCAATAAGTGAATCTGAGACGCAAACCACGTACACACAAAGGAAGCATAAACTGAGAACACTAAAGCTTCCCCAACAGTCCCGGCAAAACCCACCTGCCTTTCCCAGTCCTCCCGCTTCCCCAGCCCTTCCTGTCCGCGTGCACACACAAGGTACCTTGGCACAGACCAGGAAAAAAGAACAAGGATTAATCAGCAGCCAAAATCCTGTTTTATCACTTAACAGCCACTATCCAGGAGAGCGACAGTACTACTAACCTGATTTCAGGGAGGCAAAACTAAACCCAGCAGGGTAAAGTTCATAAATTATATGTGTGTGGAACGCCAACCCAGCAGCTCAAGACAGCTCAGATGACAATTCAACGAAAAGGGTTTCGCAAATGTTATCTCAAATGAGTATTTCCACTTCCAAACCACCGACCCACCTCCACTGCCAGTACCCAAATTCGGCTAAAGCAACTCGGGGGATACAAGCAGCAGCATTTCTTACCTTGTACAAATCTGGACATTTTAGGGATTTAGTAAAATACTCCGGCTTTAAAAAAAATTTCTAGAGGAGTCACGCTATAGGGCAGGCAGGTCGCTTTACAACCGACGTATTTTCTCCTCCTATATTTACTTAAGGGAGTATTTTTTCAAAGCGATTAAAAGTGGCTCAAAAAATAAAATAAATTTAAAAAAAAGAAAAGAAAAAAGAAAGAAAATAAAAACACCTAGAAGAACTTTCCCCAATTCCAAAAGACGGAAACTTGGTGAGACTGAGTCGGCTTAGAAACTCGTGGCGACAAGCGCTCCTGACCCAAAATGAGAGCCAGCTGGAGACTCCGGAAAAGGTAAAAAGCACACGAACTTAAATTTCATCAATGAAAGAGGCGGACCTACAGCGGCTACTTCACCGCCCCCCAGTCCCCACGCCCTCCGAGGCTGGACTGCAGGAGGCATTGGGAGGCCGCACCCCTAGCTGCCCCCTCCCAGGCGCCGCCGTCCAGCCCCCAGCCGCTTCCCAGGAAAACCCCGGTCAACAGCAGCTCCCACTCAAGCAGGGGTTGGGGAGGCCGGCGAGGCCGGCAAGCGGGGGCAGTGCAACCATTTTCACTAGCCATAAATATTATGGGACTAGGAGGCGCTACCAATTCCAAGCTCCAGCTGGCTGACCGGTCGGGGCCTCAGCTCCCCGCCTTCCCGCCGCGAGCAGCGAAACCCGGCCGCAGCTTCTTCTCGGGAAGGGGCAAAGGCTATGTTGCCCCTCCCCCGCAGCGGACACTAAGGGGTCACCAGCGAGGGGTAGACCCGTGCACCGGCCCGGGGGTCCCAAGGGAGGGCCCCGACGCTTCCCACACATATTCTCGCCGCGCCTGCCCTGCGCTGCTCAGAATCCCAAATTCAGTCTCCGGGACCACACAGCTGGCCCGCGAGAGAGGGAAACACACCCATTCGGGGGGTCGCCGGAAGCCCAACCCCGCCCCTCCTCAAGCAGCCAGCGAGACCCACCTTCCTCTTCCTTTAGCAGCTGGGAAATTGGGGGCGTTTATGGCGCCCCGGGAAGAAGGCTCGCAGGCTGAGAAAAAGTCACCTCTGAGGCGCCCTTCTCTTGCTCTCCCCCTTCTCTCACACATGCACGCCTTGAGCCCCTCGCTAGCAGCTGCTAACCCCCTCTGTCCACCCGTCAGCCGGCTCCCGACACCCAAAGCCCCCACTTTCTCCTAAACACCTCCCCTCCCCCTCCATTCGGAGCGGCTCCCTCATGCGGAAATGTCCCTGCCGCACCGACCGACAGGCACAGCAGCCAGTCAGGAGCCGAGGCGAACGCACGGTCTGGCCAATGAGACGTGCGGAGGTGGCAAGGGGCGGAACGTTGCGGCAAGTGGGAGTCCGTCGGAGGTGGGTCCTGAGCAGTACGCGGGAATCTCGCGCGTGGGAGTAGTTCCTACGGTGGGCGCCGGACCACGGAAGCCTCACCAGTATGTCCCAGTAAGGGAGAGCACCTGAGCACAACTGGTTATTTTTCCAGTCAGTAAAAATGTTCCCGCTGACTACGGACTGAAGAAAGCTCTGCGGATGGCGGAGCTCCCCACCGCGGCTGTCCTGAGGGAACCTAGAAGCTTCTCAGAGGACGCTAGCGCTCCTCCTCACGTGCGGTTGGGGGAGGGTGAGGAGGGTAGGCGGTGGCCTGTTGAAGAAAGTGACAAGTGAAGGCTACCTCACCGGGACCACCACCATCCCCCTTGCCCCAGTTCCTAATCCTGTAGAGATTTCTGCTGTGACAGGCGTTTACTTTTCTGATCTACGTGAAACTGGCTTGTTACTCCTCAAGAGATGCTTTTCTTTGGTAGATTCTTGAAGTCCTCATGGGAAGAGGATGTTACACGGAACCTGACACTAGCCTTCAGACTATTACAGGGCCAGCCCACGGCCTGTCACATCACACCTGGTATCGCCAACCCCACCTGTACCTAAGACTCAGTGTGCCTGGCGGCGAGTGCGTTTCAGACTTTACATTTCCACTTTAAGACTCTAAATAGCCTGCACCAGAACCAAAGAATTGCCAGCATCTTCTCTTATGTGCCTCCAGTAAACAAGTACAGTAATTACAGAAGAGTTTGAGGCTTTGGGCAACACTAATCAACCAAGGTAAAGTGAGAATTTTTTAATGACTCATTCTCTAAACAAAGGAACTGTAATTTTTTAGTTCCACATTTTCATATGGAAATGTTATTAGAACAAACAACACAGAAAAGGCTAGTGAAAATTTGTTATACTAGAGAATGACAACCATTGGTACTGTATTTCTTACAGGAAATCCAAAAATATTACACTCGGAAACCTCTTGGCCATAAAACGAATTTCCCCCCAAACAAAACCAAAGATGTGTCTAAAATTCGGATGTCTATAGTTTAATAACAGCATTTGGAGATTTAAGATATTTACAAAATCTCTACATCCTTTGTGTACAGTACAGAAGTTGTTCTAGCACTGAATAAGCAGTCCTTACCAATGAGCGTTAGTAGCAAAATAAAATAACACCAAAAGATTTGGGCCATATAGGCCCGACTTCATCTTTTATAGCTTTATCTTTTACCCTGCAAAAGATAAAGTTAAAAGACAATGAAGAGTTTTTAACTATACAGGTTTATTATAAGAAAGGATGATCAGTTACTGTATTTTCTGCCTTCACAGAAGATTAAAGAGCAAATGGGATTTAACTGCAGCAAGAGCATTTATTAATACCTAAGAATGGCATCTTGATTTATGAGTAATTAAATATTGAGATATAGTACCAAAGGTGGTCATACATTTGCTGCCTCAAGAACTCTCTAAAAAGTAACTACCCGTCTTCAGTGGTTACATCTGTAGCTACTCAGTCACTAGTTCTAGAGGCACTCTAGAGGCCAAATTTCCAAATATTTCCAAATGGTTGGTAACTTATAAAATGAAATTTCTTTATACATCTGTATAAATTTAAATTTTGAACCCACAAACACTTTGTAAAAGAGCTTCCCCACTCTCTCAGAGCCACTATAAACAACCTCACTTGACAAATCATGTGGAGATAGGAAAGAGGTGGAGTTCTTGATGGCCATGGAGAAAGGCATGCTTAGAAAGCAGTTACCTGTTTCTCTTTATATATTTCAGTCGCTGAAAAATTGCTTTCTCTGGGCAAGTGTTTGTATCTTTAACCCTATTTTTCATAAGATACTACTCTGGAATATCCCTTCAAGGTGCATGATATTGATATCCGTAGCGTTAGAAATCTGTAACATTGATAGATTTATAGATTGTATCATTGCAGAAACTTGGGGTGAGGGGTTCCAAACAGTGAAGATGGAGGCCCATAAGAGTGTGTGCAGGGTTAAGGAGATGGAGTGAAATGGACTGTGAATCAAAAAGAAGGCTGGAAGCCAGTTTTTGTCTGGTGCCATACGCGACCATCCAAGGATGATATAAATTCTGCCTATAATTTCTTCCTTCTTTCTACTTTCCCATAGAAACTTAAGGAAACTCAGTTTAGTTTACCCAGTCCCATATCCTAGGTTATATAACCTCACCATATCGTTTTCCTTTGCTTTGGACAGGAACTTTCTATCAGTAACAAGGAAACCATGTCTGCTGCCTTATTTCTAAGCGTCTTTTTTGGTGTCTTTTTAGATTTAGTGCTTGGCACAGTGTCTAGTACATAACGAACATTCCATAAGTATATATTGAATGACTAGTTTAGTGCCACTAAATCGTTTTAATTCACAGTGTTGTATTCTACTCTCTACTTTTTTTTTTTTTTTTTTTTTTTTGAGATGGAGTTTTTCTCTGTCACCCAGGCTGGAGTACAGTGGCACGATCTTGGCTCATTGCAACCTCTGCCTCCTGAGTTTAGGTGATTCTTCTGCCTCAGTCTAGTAGTTGGGATTACAGGTGTCCACCACCATGCCCAGCTAATTTTTGTATTTGTAGTAGAGACAGGGTTTCACCATGTTGGCCAGGCTGGTCTCGAACTCCTGACCTCAGGTGATCTACCCACCTCAGCCTCCCGAAGTGCTGGATTACAGGCATAAGCCACAGGCCCAGTCTTACTCTCTACTCTTAGAGAGCCATAAAAAAGATAGATTGTTTATATTTAGAGATAAAGTTTTTTAAGTTTAGTTATTTCCACCTTGGAGGTGAATCTGGGCCAAAGTATAAGAATAATAGCAGCCAGTGCCCTGATGACTTTACAGTAAGTCGCTAACTACCCATGAGTATTATCTAATAAGGAGTGATTTTGGAATTGTTAAAGTATAAAATAAGTATACAGATCATCGATGTGTGTGGTCTTTAATTTTTTCTTGCCTATCCTACCCTATCCTCTACATTCAAGAAAATAAAGCAATGCAGTTTGAGCAAACATGTCATAGACATAAAAATTTCTGTGTCATGCCCAAAGTGTTTAGCCAAGAGTTCAGGCAACAATTATCCAATGGACTGTTGCCCATACTCAATATTGGCTCCCATCTGTACCCATCTAAATCCTAAGCCACCCACATGAGAGAGGAAAAAGGGGCTACTGTTACTCAGTCAGCAGTTGCCAGTTACTGACTACATCTAACAATAGGGCATTTCACTTGAGTAAAAAGGTAGCCAAACAGGGTTAACTGGAAAAAGATATCAAATTATATCTATGAGATGGACTGTAAATGAATGAGTTGTCTAAAAATGAATGGGGTTTCCAAATACTTGAGGAAGAGAAAGACATCATTCTTTCCTGTTGCCAACACCATGTTGTTAATGAATCAGGAAGTTTGCTGAAACAAGTTGTGAATTTAAATTATAACATATCCTTTCTTTTGTTCACAGTATGGATTTTAAGTTATATTGAGGGTCATATAACTTTTACGTCAGAACAGTAGTAATTATTTCAAATAACTGAGATGCTTTAAAAAATGAAGTTAGTTCACATTATGAATAATTAATGGTTCATAAGCCAATCTTCTAAGTGGGTTTAAAAGTCATTAGGATCCCAAGAATGCAGTTTAATCACAATATGCATTATCTTGTTCATGTTTACAATAATTCCCCTCTAGATTCTCTTTTGAAAGTTGAAGGAGGCAGGTCCTTACTATTTCGTTTTCTGTTTAATCTGTTCTGCATGTTCCCCAGACGAGAGTGTTGGTGAGAAATGGTGATACCCATGAAGTTGTTATATTGCTGTCATGTGGGAAACTCTATCTCCAAATTGTGCCTGCCCCTTTGATTATAGGGGCGGTAGAGCCATTCTCTTTATTGAATAGGCCCAGGAATAAACATAAAGAAGCACCCTATATTCTCTCAGGGTTTTTAACAAGTATAGATTGTTATGCGATTATAATTTGAAAAGATTAAAAAAACTAATAAGAAACCATCTTTTACCAAACTCATAGATAGAATAAATATTACTTTGATTTACTGTAGTAATATATGTATAGATGATGAGGTTACTTATTATTAACTTTGAAATCTTCATAGAGAATAGCTGTGAAGGAGAAAAGCATTCAGTTTAATTCTATTTTTTCTCCCTCTTTCAACTATATTAAAGATTCCCTGTTGTGCATTCCATCAAACGACTTTTGATGGTTTTCCAAACATCTCTTCCTCTGGTCTAGTTTATTAAATTTCCTGCCAGTGCCACCACTGGGAAGGAAAGGATAAAGAACTTCTGTTTCCTAACTTAGTTTCAGGGAATGTATTTTAAGCATTTCACACCCACCACCCTAACTAAATATTAAAGAGAAGATTCTCAGCTGGGCACAGTGACTCACGCCTGTAATCCCAGCACTTTGGGAGCCCAAAAGGTAGGTGGATCACCTAAGGTCAGGAGTTTGAGACCAGCCTGGCTAACATGGTGAAACCTCGTCTCTGTACTAAAATACAAAAATTAGTCAAGTGTGGTGGCGGGCATCTGTAATCCTAGCTACACCAGAGACTGAGGCACAATAATCACTTGAACCCGGGAGGCAGAGGTTGCAGTGAACTGGCATCGTGCCACTGCACTCCAGCCTGGGGTACAAGAGTGAGACTTTGTCTTGAAAACAAATAAATAAATAAATAAAGAGAAGATTCTTAAGACTGCACTTTGGGTGAAGGTTAAATAATTGAATAATTCTATGTCATTGAATGGATAATGTGATTAGACAATAAAAAGTAATTTTTTCTCTCTAAAATTAAAAAGAGGAGGACTGTCCTACTTAGAGAAAAAACTCCAGGAAAAATTATGGAATATTAATGTTAAGTTCTGGTGCAATTTTATTTTATTTTTAAAAGTTTATTTATTTATTTATTTATTTATTTATTTTATTTACTTATTTTGAGTTGGAGTCATCCAGGTTAGAGTGAGGTGATGCAGCCTCAGCTTACTGCTACCTCCACCTCCCAGGTTCAAGCAGTTACCCTGCCTCAGCCTCCCAAGTAGCTGGGTCCTGCCACCTCACCTGGCTAATTTTCTGTATTTTTTTCCATAGAGACAGGATTTCACCATGTTGGCCAGGCTGGTCTCAACATCCTGACCTCAGGTGATCTGCCCACCTCTGCCTCCCAAAGTGCTGGGATTATAAGCATGAGCCACTGCGCCTGTTCTCTGGTGCCATTTTAAATCCCACTGCAATTTTTTTTTTCAGTAAGGATGTACAGCTTAAAAAAAAAAAATCCAGATAGTACCAAAATGCCAGTAATGAATAGCAATACTCCCCTACTTTACTTCAATGTGGCACCTCAGAGGCAACCATTTTTCTTCTCATAATTACCTCCAAATTTTTAATGCTATAGAATTGTTATTTATTTGGTTTCTGGATTTTAGGCATTATGTTTTTGACTTTCTGTTAGGATAGGTATGGACTGAGCTCACTTACACCCCCAGCCCTTCTTCTCTTCATTGTATCAGTTTCCTAAACCTTGTAGAGCTAAATTTCCCAACCTTTTCCTCATCATACAGAGAGAAAATGAAAATATTTGTATGGTATCTTGGGGTGCCTAGAGGGAATTTATGAACATCTATTTGTTCTTGGTGAAGAATTAATAGTGTTAAAATGTATATAAAATAATGAAAATTAAAATGAATGTGAAGTAATAGTTGAAATATTAAATATAGAATTTATATAAAACTGAAATAAAAGCTTTTCAAATATCTA